GTGACCCTCTAACAAGAGGAATTTTTCCTGAGGTTGAGTCGTGGTCTTACAAATAAAAACGTCATCAAAAATACCCAGCTCAAAGCCCTAGAAAACGACACTAGCAACACTAAGCTTTCCTTCTTCTGCTCCTACCTTCTCTGCCAATAACTTCACTCATTCAAAAGAAGAAACCATATTCAGCCAATAACCATAAAACCTCATGCTTCAAACTCTAAATCCTCTGTATGAAAAACAGAAACACATATCCACAATACACACAGTGATTCCACCATCACAAAGATAACAGTAGAGCGACCCAACACACCTGAATCAGTAAGATAAAACACACCAGCTTCATCTTTACAAAATAATAAACTGTAAAACCAAGATAAAACAAATCAACATGTAACCAGCACCTAGAGACAACCTAAAGAGACAAAGCTCTACCATATTCCAAGGGCTTAAGAAGAGGTGCTGTATTCCAAGAACCCCAAGAAATCTCTGGACTGGCACTACATGACTGAAAAGGTCTTAGTTTACATCTTCTTTTCTTTTTTTTTTTTCTTCTCTTGTGATTAACCCCATTACTTGTTGGGTTTTTTGTTTTGTTTTTGCTTTTTTTTTTTTTTTCTCTTCCCTGTTTGCTAGTTTGTTTTCTTTCTTCATTATTCTCCTTCTCTACCTTTTCTCTCTTAGTGACCTATCCCCAGATATTGCATATTTACCTGTTTTCTTTTTCTTTTCTCCACTTTTTCTTTTTTTGGGTTACTATTCCTGTGTGATTTCAGGGTGTATTTTTTATCCATGTAATTTTAGTTTTTTCGATGGTTATTCAATTGTAATTTTTGCCTAACTGAGTGGGAGACAACAACAGTCCACATAAAATACAAGTACACACACAACTCCTGCAACTTCACTTACTGAGCAAGAGCCAGCATCTCCTTCTCCACCAGCAGGCCAACGATAAAACACCACGAAGAAGAACCTGAATCACCCTTGACTGCTCTTCACAAACAATTAACAAATATTTTAATAAAATACCACGATGCCTCAGAGACAACAGACCATCACAGTCCACACAATAAAGCAAGATAAAGGGGTAGAAATAAGGGAACAGGTAATAGACCCAGAAAACATGCCTGAGGAAGAAGCAGTATGGGAACTCTCTGATAAGGAATTCAAAAGAATTAT